TAACACCCGTTCTCCAGTCCGCTGGTGTCTTTCCTGCAGTCATCGCAGTTTGACAGACACGTGTTAGCCAACACGTGCCTTGTTCGCCTTATGGCTTGAGTATTTCAAGGCGGATTACTTCAATTTCAGCAGCATTTCCGTTTTTAAAGCTTTTCACAGCTTGTGTAATTTCATCTACAGAGATAGTAATATCCGTACCCTTCTGCTCTAGAGGCGAGTCTTCTTGCTGTTGCACGGAATTAAGGAGTTCCTCAAAGTACTCCTTCCATCGCCGAAAAATATCTTCATAACAGGGTATCCAGATCTGTCCTTCAAGACTCTGAAATTGCTCGTCTTTTCACCTCGGAGCCTCCGGATGGTCTGCCAGAACACTTTGTTTGCCATGTGGAAATTCGACTCCAACACCTCACCGAACTTCTCCCAGGAATCAGCTCTTGTTTTTGCCACTGCTATGGCTGCCGTCTTGCGTGCCTCGACATATCGCACGCAAGCAGATGGCTCCTTGTTTGCAAGCCATTTCTTGAACGCTGCTTTCTTCTCTTTTACTGCCAGTTGTACCTCTCGTGTTCACCATGAAGATCTTTTCTGACGTGCAGGTGGCAGCCCCAACCCGTTTATATCTGCAGCATTCGGCGTCAGCCTCGAGTATGCCGCTCTTAATGAGCTGCCACTCGGTTTCAACATCAGTTGTCATCACTGGGATCTGTTCAAACCGTCCTGCAATGCTGTTTGCAAATTTCGCGCTCTCATGTCTACCGATGATAATGTTTCCGATTTGATTCTCCGGTTGCTTCTGCCACCAGATCTTTGTATGGTATTGCACTTCTTACAGCGCAGCTTGCCAACAAAAAAGTGATGATGGTCTGATAGCTCTGTGCCTCTCTTAACACGAACAGCCATTACTGAGCGTCTTAAGTGAGATGGTATGATTATCAAATCGATCATCGACTCCTGTTCCCAAGCTTCCCGGTACCAGGTGTACTGCTGTACTCTTCGATGCTCGAAGATGTTGATAATGGTCAATCCGTTGTTTGCACAAAACCGCAAACAACTTCATGCCGTTATTGTTGAGGTCGCTAGGGAAGTTTTTCCCAATCACGCCGTTCCGCTTTTCAGCGTCTACTGAGACGCGCGCATCAAAATCGCCCATCAGTATGAGGGACTCTGTATTCGGCACTTCGGACAGAGCACACTGCACTTCCTCAAGG